TGCACACATCTACATCTGGTAACGTAATTCCCCAAAACCATGGCATGTTTTCAGTGGGTTAAAGCCCTGCTACAGGATATGCCCCCCCCAAAAACGGGCATGCCACTGATATCTACTGACAGCTGGGCTTGGAACTGCATATATTAAATTTGTTACCCTAAAGCAGAAGCGAAGTATGTAAATGCAGGGTTCTCCCCACCCCCTACAGCACCAAACGCATGTTAAGTAACATCTCTCTCAAACACACATTTCTATCCTAAATTGATCTGAGAACCAGAAACAGCAGTTTTCTTCGTCAGATCCCACTTGACTCCACTAGTGCCTTTTGTTTCTTGGAAAGGCAAAGAAGAGAAGCTCTGCTTCTGCTGTTCAGAAACTCTCCAGACAGTTCCTGCAGATCAACTCAAAACTATTTGTACCTGGTGGCTCAACAAAGAAAGAGGCATCTGGTCCCTTCACGTCGTGCTGAGCTCCCATCCAATGTTCTTCAGACACTATGGAGAACAAACACATTTAGCCCTGCCGCTGCTTTATTTTTCAGTTGAAGAAGACTCTGCTGGTTTGTGAGTTCATTCTCAGGTAACTTCTCAGTTCCCTTTAGGAATGGTACCAGAACATCATGTTCTTCTGTGATTATTGCTAGTGAAAGCTTGCATTAGAGAAGAGTTATAACCAGCACCGACCCCAGGACCCAATGGAGCAGGTTCTTTCCTCAATTCTTCTGGGCAACCCGCTCTAGGTGGCCCTGCTTGAGCCGGGGGGTTGGCTAAGATGACCTCCAGCAGTCCCTGCCAACCTCAGCCATTCTGCGACCTCCTAACTGCTTCAGAACATTCCCACTGAACCAAGAACTGCCATTGCCAACAGGACACTTCCTCATCTCAACTCATTTTATGTATCCAGTTGCCCACCACGATTCTTCAGGAGTAGGAAACCAAGAGTCCCCAACCGCATACCCTTCAAACCCAGTAGGAAGACGGACAGTAAAAATGAAACATCTGCTTCTCACCTGCTTTGTCTTGCAGAAATTCTGCAGTTGAATCCAGGCCAATGAAGGCTGACGGGTCTAGAGCCTCTGCAGGAGAATACAGGGGCCCCAAGAAAGGTTGTTCAGGTACCATCATAGATCCATGTGGTGCTAATGAAGGAACAGGCCATTGTTAATCACCATGACTCCTCTCCGAAATTTAAAGTCTAAACAACACTTGGAAAAGAAACTATTCTGTTCTGCTCACAAGCAGGTTAGATAAAGTTTGTAAGCAACTCTCCCAATTAGCTCAGCTTTACAACCTGCACTGTAAATCACGTATGCATACCTCATTTTGTAACAAGGTGTAAGACAGTAAGCACAGGCAAATTATTTTGCCTTCTGCTTCTGCTCCCATGAATCCTCGTTAGTAACTACTTCAACTCCAACAGTCCCAACACTGAAGACCACTGTGCAAAGTTAACGTATATTTGGTTTCTAGCCATGAAGACAAGAGCCATTGGTAACTCCTGCTTCAACTCAACTTGTCAAGATGTCCCGTCTCCTTCTGCCGAAAAAGACTTCAAAAAAACCTTCCTGGAAGTAGCTATTGGAATGGCTTTAGGCACACGCGCAAAAAAAAAATTAAAAAATCATGTGAAGAGATTATATAGTCTGTGCACTTAGCTGCTTAATAGTTTTCGGTACATGAAAGTCAACAGAGAAAACCCCAAAGCCTGACCTTCAGGGACAAATGCCAAGGAGGAACTCACCATGGATGTCTCTGGAAGCATCAACATGGTCCGTGAACAGCGGCACATTCTTCATGTCAGTAGGAAATGATAAATCAGGCAGATTCTCCCCTCTGTGCATGCTGAAGGGGTCTGGCAGGAGACAAGAAGGAATTCTGTGTCACCACACAGGGGAAGACACGGTGCAGAGGAAGATATTTAAAAAGAAACAGATGAAGATGCACCTGACACCACTTCTGAGGGAAAGCTGCTTTCAAATTTATTTACCAGGGGCAAACACCTTCATAATTAGAATTTCAGTTGCCCAGACTGCTTCCCAGGGAAAAGTGACTACGGTTGGGATTACAACCGTTGCATGGAGAACTGGTCTCCTCCTCTCAAGGAGCAAGCATCTGTTTCTCCGATGGACACAAACAGCTAACCTGAGTCATGAACGACAGCTGATCAGTTAACTCAACAGCGGAGCAAGGAAGCTACACGCTCTCCTCCCCGAGAACAGTACACCGGTACAAACTGACTGGTGGGCCAGTACTTCAGCCAAGTTACAAGACAGAGAAGAAAACCACACGTTTCCCCGTGTCCCAGGCAGATGAACAGCCTTGGCCCTTCGCTCCAGACCAGACACACTGGTGAGGCTGTCAGGGCCTTTAGTCCACGTTTGCAAGTTGGTTGGTCTGACATGCGTTACCTTTGCTCTGCTTTTGGTCCGTGTTTTAAGTAGATATATCAACGTCAACTGCAAAAGACGGTGGTTTAGCAGCTGAGGATCCAGCAAGAGAAAATTCTTTCTCCACAAGGTTTATTTTTGGTGCGCACACATCTCCTTTCCCCTCTAGTAATCTGCACGGTCATTCAAACCAGACGTGACAGAAAACCATCATGCTGGGGTTTAGAAGATGGATTACTTAACTGAAATGCCATGAGTCAGAGAGCAGGGAGATGACCTCACTGAGAATAAAATGAAGAAAAGCTGACCCTTCCATGAGTTAGGCGCTGTATTATAATACAGTCAAGGGCACGACACTGAGGGGAAGGAAGCATGGCATTCCCCTCTCAAACAAATTATTCTGTCCTTTACAACCCCCCGGATGTGTTTTATGACCAATGATTCCTAACACACGGTGCTGGCTCTGCCAGACGTACAGCGCGTCCCCCTCCAGACAGGCGCAGCCGAGCAACAAGAGGTTTCGACTCGAGTGGCCTCTTGCAGACGAGTGCCATTCCTCACGACTATCGCACACCTCGCACTACCCCAGTGCTGAAGAACCCTCTGTTCCCAAAACGGCTGTCACACACCCGTTTTCAGACACCACACAGACTTCTTCCAGTTAAGCACAATTAAAAGGGATTCAGTTAAAGGCTGTTGTTCATTTTTTATGCCAGGTATGCTGTCTGACAGCCAGACTTCAAATGCTCACGTGCCCGTGGTCTCCAAGATGGCAAGCGTAGGTGAGCTGCATGAATTCTTTTATAAATCTATCAGGCTATTTGAGATGCCAAGACAATGTCTTGCTTCAGAGGAAACTGTAGAAAAATTTAATTTCAAGCTGTTTAAAACAGTATTACCAAGACTAAGTATCTGCCTTTTTTCCAATTTAAAAAAAAACCAAAACACACCAAAAAACCCCAAACCCACAAAAAAAGCATCACAACTGAAACCAATTTAAAAAGCAAAAGAGATGCTGATGGCCTCCCCTCTCCGTCCAGCAGTTGGATGACGATGACATAGCAAAAACGGGTGACCCAGATTAAACCCTGTCTCTGCTCCAGAGGGAGAAAGGGGAGAAGCGGAAGGAGTTACGGCTCAACTTTTGTTCCCCATCTCCAAAGATCCTCCACAGACCCAAAGCAGGGCTGGGCCATACTCAGGCTTTAGCATTTGTGGGACTGGTAAGCGATGCTGCTCTCGCTGATGACAAGGTGACGCTTCCAGCAAAACATATTGCACTGAAAAGGGAAAGGCAGGTGCTAAGGATGAACTGTACGGATGGGATACGGCCAGTTCAGGAAACCACCAGGTCTTGCATTCAATGAGCCCTGAAAAGAATTCTCTATTTGCTCAAAATTTGCAGCTAGTTTTGAATATTATGAAGCCAGGGAAATGTTAACAATCTGAGAGCGTTGTTTCTGGGTAGCTGGAGGTAAGAGCAACAAAACATTTTGGGAAGTTTCCTTTCAGGTGCCTTCCACAGACACTCATATCCTTTGCTGTGCAGAGACGTAGCTCAAATTTGCCAGTAACTGTGGACTAATAGATCATCTTGCTGTAGATCATTTCAACAGGAACTCTTCATGTTTAGATATTTACCTACAGTTACAGTAATAAATCACGGTACACTCGTGATTAAGGGCCCTGTGACAGCTTGCAAACAATTAGGGAATGTTTGATTTTTATTCACTCTACATTATAACAATATTGTTAAATCAAGTCCTTTTATTATAGGTAGTGTGTAAAATATATATGTAAGTTTTTGCTCATAACTGTTACTTTCACAGGGCTGGGTACCACCGCCAGATCCTAACGCAGCATTTGTAGCGTCTAACAGCCAAGTCCAGAGCGCATTCCAACGGGCTCTTCCAGCTGCTCAGAGATGTGGCAGAACATTCCAGTGGCTGAACCAAGCTGGCATCGCCCGTGTTTCTCACCGAGGAATTGCAGCAACGCTGGCTGGAGACCTGTTACACCACTGACCAGAGAATTCTCTCCTTGGGAGGGAAATTATCCTGCTGTTTTCCAAACAGTGCGGATAAAAATATTTAATAATGCAGTAGCCTTTTATGAATCTGATGGTCACATTTTTCTCCTTCTGCTGACAAGTTGATAGAGCCTGTCTGTCCTCTCTGGTCCCTCTGCTCAGTTATGGGCATCGACTAGTCCCTAAGCAGGACCTCTTGTTTCCAGAGCGCCAGGAAGAGCAGCGTGGAGGAATCCTTCCGTACTGACGTACAAGGGGTACCTCATGCACGTACAGGTGAGCAAGACACTCTAAGGACGTGAGACCTAAGGAAACGTGGGTTTGTGCAATAGACAACCCACAGATTCACGTTATTCAGGCCAAAAGAATGCTGGGTGATGGGCTAGGTACCTAAATGCCTCCTAATCAACAAGTTTGTCACCCAGCTATTGAACGTAACTACATCACCATCCCATTCTATCATCTAACAAAGCAATGGGAGGGAAAACCCAACCACCGCGTTTGAGAAACCAGCGGCTCTTTTGTTCCAGTTGTTCCATGAATCATTTCTTACCCTTGTAACAAAATATAATTTCTTCACAGAATCTCTTAGTAAATATGAGATTCAGATAGCAGGAAAATGATTTAGTAAGCAGGTCTAGAGTGCTCAAAAACATATAAAAAAAAAAGTTTTATCCTGTTTCAGCCAGTATCTTTCCCAGGTTTATTGCCTGGTACAATCTGGGCAGCACACACATTTCTCATACCCTCAAGAGCGAGCAAGTAATTTCCCATAAGCTTTCTCAAAAATGAGAGAAAATTGGGTGAAAGCTGTTGGGTGAAAGGGTATCTTTCTGCAGGTGCAAGTTATACAAGGTTCATCTAATTTTCAAGAGAGTCAGCAGCCTCACAGGCTGCCTCTGGAACAGACCGACCTGCATTGCAGACGCAGCTACGTGACAGCTGGAAGCGGCATTTCTGAGCACCGGGCAAGATCGGCTTTCAGCGGTCGACAACTTTGGCAAGGTTTGCGCTGAAAGCCACGGTACTCGAGAGCGGTTAAACCGTGGAAGACAACCAAAACCTGCCATCGCCACGTTAGCCAAGGCAGGGGGAAACCTGCTCACCCACAGCCTGCATACTCTAACACAGCGGACTAGCAACTCCATTTTTAAGCAGCCAGACCCTGCTCTAGGGCAAATTGATGTGTTAAGTCTGATGTCAAGATGTTACGTGTTTTCAGAAAAAAGAGAGACAGATCCTAAAGAACACAAGCGTGAGTACAAGGCAAGAGAATAAAACCACCCTTGGGGATACTCGGGCTCTGGCATGTTACACAACTGAGGAAATCACTGATGCTACGGGTGTACGAGTAAATACAGCCATACCAGCCATCTCCATGGGTTTGAATACGGGCTGTGATTCAAAGCACAGGTCTCTGTCGTCCATCGTCCAGGAGTCATTGCGATTGAGAAAGTCTTTGTATGACAGCTTTTCATCCATGATTTCTCCTGGGAATACTGAAATTAGAGAAGAAAATGACACAGTCAAAAGTGAGACGTTAAGCTAAACTATTTAAAATAGATTATTGTACGATATGGCATTCGGAGGCCAACAGGTAACATCAGCCGTTAGCCACACCAGAGACCATGAATATTCATTTTTTACTGCTTTGATCCGACTCTTCACATGTGAGAAACAATAATGGGAATTTCTGCATCCTGATACACATGTAAGATCAAGCGTGGACTCACACGTCAGACTCACACGTGCTGTCCTGTTTTCAGATGTTGGACATTTCAGGCTAGCTTCTCACACTCGCCTTTAGGGAGACTGTTCCTTCACATAAGAGCTGGAAGAACCCTGAGACCCTGACCTTGGAAGGCTGAGCAAAGCTTTCAAGTCTGTCAATACCAAAATGCTGAACACAATCTGCTCATCAGGTCACAGCGGGGAGGAGGGGAACCAAAGCCACCTCCTCTCCTGCCCAGGCACCAAATCTGACCACAATCACAAAAACAGCAGTACCACCACAGACACACGGGATGGGTTTGCTCTCTGTTTTACCAGGAGGACAAACTCCAAATGATTTAAGTGAATAACTCTTCCCTGAGTACCTCAAAGGCCTTTATTTGTACATCTTTATGTTTCACATTTAAGCTTAATCTTCCCCCGGTTTACAATAAAGACAGTGCTCTGAACACATCAACGCCTGATGGTTTATTCCTGACCAAGGAAAACGTTAATCTTTCTCTGCTGGCCCGTGTTAAAAACAACTGCGCTGAGACTGGCAGCTCTCAGCAACGTGGGGTGTACAGGGTCGGTGTGCTGTTACCAAAGCCTTGGCACGCTCCTCTCACAACCTATAAATGCCCCACAGAAAAATGCAGGGAAATAAAGAAGCAGCTAGATGACATAAAACTATTCCAATAAGGTTTGTCACAAGGAATATTCAAAATATGCAGACCAGCCTTTTCCTGAAGTCCTTACAAGCAGTTGGAGATGTTTAGAAAACCAAAGCAAGATAGCTCAGCCATGAGCCGAGATACCCTCCAGCAGCAGCACTAAGACAGGCCATGGGCGCTCCTCTTCCTCACCTTCCACACTTGTTTGGGTTTGGTTTTTTTTAATTTTCATCTCCACTTTGCTCCAGCCTATCCTCTTCTCCCAGCGTAGCACCTTGGGACGAACTAGCGGGTAAGCAGGAACCCGTAGCATCCCTGCCATGGTACGCAGACGTACGAAACACGCCAACAGCCCCAGCCGCACCGACATCTTCGTGAACAAGAAGATTTCACCTCTGTCCTGGGACTGAGAGGTCCCTGAGAGTGCTGCTGACCACCCCTACGCAGCGGGGGAAGCGTTGGATATGAAGGGAACCCCACACACATCTCCACTGACCCCTGGTTTAACACTTCAACTTTAAATCACTTCAACAGAGAAACAAAAGCAGTGGCAAGCGGTAACGGCCAGGATGGGAAAAAGCGCTAAGGGATAGATAAAGTTCTCTTTGTAAATAAGAGATGTATCAATACACACAGGCTGCGAAGGCTAGCTATAAATGAGCTAACACCTGCGAGGTTTGATTTACACTTAGAATTAACACACAAAAGCCCCCGAACGTCAGCTGCGGCAATACTGGCTACTCTGCTGTAGCTCCCTCGACGTCTCAGCTGTTCCTGTAAAAAGCCTGGTTGTTTCAGCTCTCAAAGACCTTTCCCAGTCCTGTAGTTGTACAAAAGAAATAACAATGTATGTCCTAAAGTTTTCAAATCCAACAAATGCTGGGGAAAGGCTCAAAACAAATACCCAGACTCGTGACTTTTCAGAGTAATTTTCATTTTAAGGAGACCTGAATTCGTCAACTCTTCTATCAACCACATTAGACTCCCACGCTGATTTCCAGTTTCAAACACGAAAAAGATTCACACAAACTCCTTTTCTCATCCCCTAATGCAATATGCCACAGTCTCTTGCCAACGCATCTCTTTATGCCTTTAATGTTTTTACCTTCGTTTAGGCTAACAATACTACTTGCAAGACTGGAGCTCAGGGGAGGAAATGGATAGTGTGCCTCAAAAGATATCCCTGAAGACGACCCTTAATTCAGTGCAAGATTGCAGTTAATAAACACAAACCCAGCGTTAACCCACAGAAGAAATAATTAAAACCACAACGCTGGCGTATAAAAGCAAGAACCGCTGCCTCTCAGGAGGCTGAGGTGCCAGCCGGTCGCAAACGCATTTCGTAGCAAGGGGGAAAAAAGATTCATAGAGAGGTTGTAATAATTCTAATTAAAAAAGCGATTGAGAAAGGGTCAGATGAAAGGAGGGTTTTGTGGGTTTTTTTTGTTTGGTTTACATCACAACATAATGAAACGAGACCCGTACAAATCCATCGGTGGTCGCAGCAGTTTGGTCAGAGATTTTGGGTTTGCAGGAACAGGAGGTGATTCCATGAAGTTGGAGACAGGTCAGGATCTCAGATTTGTACACAACTACTACTGCTCGTAATTCAACTCTGGAGCTCAATGCCGCCCAGCGTCCCTGTGGTCTAAAACTGTGCAAGGTCAGGGCGCACGAGCTCTGCGTAGTCCTATTTTGAGTCATTAGCTGGGACTTCTCAGATAATCCCCAGGAAAGGCAGGAGAACTAACGAGCTTTAGCTCCCTTGGAGGCATTACGTGAACTGTGGCGTGGCGGACGGGACAGGGACCAGGCGAGGGCTTCTCCACCTCCGTTCAGAGGGAGACGGTGTCACCGGGTGTCAATTAACAGCAGCTCGGTTCCCCTGGCAGCAGGCAGGACGTGGGCTCTCCCTGCCTGCAGTCTCTCCCTGCCTGCACCAGTTTTCCTCCCCAGGCAGGGCCCCGCTGCCATCCCCACGCAGCCGATGGGCAGACCCACGGCCGCCGGCTCGTCCTCCCGCTCCGTGCCCACCCCGTGCAAACAGAGGTGCTTCCAGCTCCCACACTGACCCGAATGCCGATGTCCCAGGTGCGCTCCGCTTCCAAGGGGGCTCGGAAACGTTGTACCAGGCGTGCCCCGTGCCGTGGATGCAGCGAGCAAAAAGGAACTGGATCTTCAAAGGGAAACGAGATGGACTATTCGCAAGACTGCTCATGGCACTAGCGTTTGAACTCGGGTATACCACAAGAAACAACCGAACTGGTAACATGCTGGAAAGGTTTTTTTCCCCCACTGAAATTCAAAATACAGAGAATGCTGCCTACCAGCCGCAGATTGGGGCTGACACACCATGACAAGACAGGCAATGGCTACGGGGAGCGATGTTGTGCTCTAGCGGAGGTTCACAATTGTAGAAGAGCTCCTATTCAGATTCTGATCCAACTAAATAGAAATAAAATGCATTTATTTTTTACCCTCACATGCACCATGAGGGCCAGAGAACGGGAAGTATAATTCTAGTAAACACGAGATCTTCCACTATGTCCTGTCGGTGTAAACACCACCAAAAGAACCGCTGTTGAACACACTCAGCATCTGACCCTCGGCAGAGTTATTCCTACCTCTCGTGCTACAGCCCTGCAGATGCTACAAGCATCCTAAAGCGGTGCTGATTTGGCAGGCGGATGCTGCTTTTCTGCCAGTGGCTTTTAGCTATTATTCTGCTAAACGACGACATTTGCCACGGCTGACTTCAGCAGCGAGGACAGAGAAGTTTCCCAGACCAAGCCTGACGACAGCTCTGCTTCCTCTGCGCCACGGACGAGGCACAACCGTGTGTCGGCGGGGAAGGTGACACGTGTGGCAACAACCCCATCGTGCTCAGCAGAAAAATCAGCCCGATCCTGGCGTCAGAGGGTAGCTTAAAGGCTGACAATTTAAGCAGGAAATACTTTATTAAGACAGACAATGATCATTTAGATTCGCAAAGTACTTTGAAGATAAAGTATCACTACATGTGTCAAGAGGCATTATTATTTATGATTATTTGTGGTGCAGAATAGCAAGGGATTTAATTATATTCAATTCTAAATTCTTCTGGACAGGAGCCTGTCATTCATTTGCCTATAAAACTCCATTTAAAGCAAAAAAAAAAAAAAACAAAACAGGAGACTGTAAATGTCCTTGTCAGTGTGAGGAAGAAGCCTGGGAGCAGTTAAGAAAATTTGACGTGAACTTTCTGAAAGATGACTTTAACTGAGTTTTGGATTGGACCCACGCTAAGTCTGGTGAACTGTAGGGCACACCCCGATTGAACTCTACAGATTTTAACTAAATCTGTTAGTACTACACCACAAATACATACTGGCATATTGCTATTATTAACAGATCTCTCAGAGGAAGACCATAAAATTAGGGTCACAACAGGTAAACCAGAAGTAAAACCTCCACTTTTTGGGGGTTTTTTTATTTTTAGTAGGCAGGTTGCATTCACGCCTTTAAATAAAGGGGAGGGGAACCTCCTCAACCACACACCTTGCTGGAAAAGGAAGGAGAGGACAGTACAGCAGCAAAAAGAAGTGTAAAGGGAAACAGTTACATGCCATATCAGATGAAATCAATCTCCTGTAACAGTCGAGCAAAACTACATTGGTATTTGCAAACCCTTAGTTGTAGCGCAAGCCCCCGAAGCCAGATGAAAGGTGATTCGACAGCAGTTGGGAATTGCTTCTACAAATCATTAGACACATAAACCAAGACTTGACTTCCCAGTCCAAGTGTTTTTCACCACTACTTGCCACCCAGCTAATCTGTCATCCCCACCCCGTCCCGAATTCAGTTCCTCCTCGTTGAAGTAAGCTTGGTGGAACACGAGAATTGTGATCTCAGAAACAGGGCCCCAAGGACTGTAGAAAAAAAGATTTTTCAGTTCCAAACCCAGTTCTGCAGATCCTCCTAAAACACACAGTCTGCATAGGTGATCAATGAATAAAAGAGAGAAAAGCAAACCAAAAGGACTAGCCGAACTCTTACAACGATCAATCCTGGAAGTATTATTAAGATGTATCAGCAGCAGATAACATACTCAACACAAAATGTAAGTTTGACAGATCCCACAAACCTGTAATTGTATCAAGTATTAAAGCTTGCTGATGGTTGAAAATCCCGTTATGACTGTTGATAACATATACCAATGTAGGATTACAACTTACAAAGTCTCGCTTAAAGAAAAAAATACCATTAAGAACATACTTACAAAGCAAACTTGCTTCTGAAAGTAAGAATGCGGATCCCATGCAAATAGCACGCTCCCCGAACCGATCCCGCGGCAGGTTCCAGAGAAAGGCTGCGAAACCTTTAGCAGGGCTGCCGACAGCGTTGATTTGTTTGTTTTATCATCCGCTCTGCCAAGATCGGCACAGCCACATAAGCCAATTCAGAAGCTAATCCGTACAAAACAGCTCTTCTGGCAACCTACAACACGGACGCTCCCGACACGGGCGGCCTGCCGCGCTCAGACCTCCAGAGGGAAGAAAGCCTGTACCCACCAACACGCAGGTCATCACGCAGAGAACTTCCAGCAAGGAGCACTCTTAGCAGAGGATTACCATGATAAAGCCTTTTCGCTGCGGGAGATGCTAATCTCGACAGGTCACTGACCAGCTCTCTAGCTAGAGGTTAAGTATCTTCAAAATTAATGAGTCTGCAGCCGTGAGACATCCCTGCCAGCACCAAGCCAAGAAACAGAAAAATAGAACCTTAAGAGCTTCTTTCCTATAGCTGACCTGATTCGCTCAGGTCGCCGCAATGGTTCGGTACCTTAGACGGACGCCTTGCTGAAATCACACCAAAGACCGACAGCTTTACCCGTCGGCAGAACGAGCCATGCCTCGCAATAAATTCTCAGCAACCTCAGAGGAAACGGAAGCCCAGGCCACCTCTGCAGGGTATGGAACGCTGCCACCGTTGTCAGAAGGCAGGGGTTCGGAAACACACACGCTTTTATATTCTATGTGAGGTTTTGAGCTCTCATTTCCTGCCTGAGGTTCTGCTCTGCTCAGCAGGCTGCTAGGGGCAGTTACTAACACGAGCAACTTCCGATTGAAATGTTGGGCTATTTGCCTGCGTGTCCTCTCTGATGTTTTTTACACACACACCCCAAGGCGCTCCCTTCAGCATGCTAACCAACGGCGTTCTGTGGGATGGGATGACGTGTGGAACATCAGGTAGGCACCTCTACGGGCAGCCAAGACGTTCTGGGTTGTCCTCCCCTCGCTCGGGACACGGATGCGTTACGTAGGGTAAGGGATACAGAAGCCTGACCTTAAAGGTTACACAGCTCCTCTTCAAAGATGCTCAGAGCTCCCT